AAGTCATATTATGACTTTGGAGATTTAAGATTGTGGGTGCTATATTGCGTCATCAAATATACCTGTACTTCAATACCTGGCCAAGTGAACAGATGAAGTTTTAGGTTGAAGATCAGTGGGGTTGATGGGTCAATCTGATCTCAATTTGATTTTTCTGCCACAAATCTGGTAAGAGAGCTTCATATATTGTATAGACACCTTGATTATTGTTGAAGACTGTGTTACCCTCCAGATTCTATAGTTCCAAACTAATTCCACATATACCATTAATATTCAGTTTATAAATTATGGGTCAGTCAGATTTCATAATTTTGCCCCATATATGATTTTTGTCTCCCAATTGGTGTTTATACTTGAGTTTATCTGTTTGATAATGATTAAATGATTCATGCATGTTCCGCCAATTTAAGGCAATTTATTGTTATATTCTGCAGATTTAAGGCATAGTTTGAACCAAATATTTGAAGTTGAAAATAAAAATCTGGGAGAAAATGGCACTTTTGGAAGTGTAGAATGTCCTCTTCCCTCCAGCCCACACATGTACAGTACTTCCTATAAGCACCTAAAGTCCAAGTAGCATAAACGTAACGTGTTAAGAACTATCTACACTTCTGGAAAACTACTTCAGAATACAGGCAAATGTATTGAAATAGATCACAAAATTCCGGATCTTTGGCTGAATTGGCTATTTGCAAACTGCCATACCCAGAATTGCTTTCCTTCAAGGTTACTCTCTGGGTATTTCTGCTTCCTCCATCAATAAAAATTGGTTGCTATGATGTAGCCAAATGTGCTAAAACTGATAATAAGCACCAACAATCAATCAATGAACCCTTCACTGTTGTGGTCCATGTATTTTCTGAGGCCCCCTGTCTGCAGGCTACAGCAAGCTATACTCATAAGCATAGGTTCTGCAAGACATATTTGGTAGGAAAAATGGCATGAGATGGTTCACTTAAATCCTAATCACCCACCAATATGACGCCTTTCTCACCTCATCCATCCTGCTATGCTAGTTTTATGAGTACCTGTAAGCACCACCAGCAAGGTATTGCTCATTTGCTTATAATTTGGATATTTTTGAAAATAAAGGAAAATTTGGCATTTTCTGAATACAATTAAGCATGTGAATATATGATGATCAATAAATGTGGTAATGAAAAATTACTTGAAAACAAATTCTACATTGCCTATATCACAGTGATAGAAGATAGACCATGTTTCATTAGATAAAGGTCATGTGAAATATGAATAGAACATGGACATAAATGCATGTCAATGGTGGCTACCACGAGTGATACAATCTTATTATAGCTCATCAGTCTCTTAGAGAAAATGAAGATTGCTATTGATTTGGGTCTGTAGGTCAAAGATCAAGAATATATATATATATTTTCCAATTATCCAGAATTTTGTGGTCTGTAGGTCCAAGATCAGAATATATATATATATATATATTGATGTGGCGGCATGGTAATTAACATTATCATCCTTTACGACAGACAAAATAGCTGATCTGAAAGGTACACCATCTACTTACCCCTATACATCATGTACTGTGGTACAACCCTAGATAAAGCTGACGAGGAAAGGCATTACATCGAACACCGAAAGTTATATTTTAATGTAGCCTAGGTGGTCGAGTGGTCTAGGGCGCTTGACACGGTGTAGGCGGTGTTGTCACAGAAGCAAGGGTTTGAATCCTGTTGAAGGAAGAACAAAAATTTGCTAATGCAAATTTGAAGATCTAACATTGTTGAGCTAAATTTGAGACAAATTATATAATTATATTGTTTTCAATATATATATAAGTATGTGAACATTATCCTAAGTGATTTTACCGTATTTTACCCAGTCCCTAAGGGCTCTCTTAAAGATTGTTTGTTTTGCATACCCCCATAAATCAGACTACATTTAAAGTGAAATTTGTCAGTATAAATACAGGTATAATATAAATCTTAATAGTATCAATCAGCCCCACTAGACTCTTAATTGAATGTTAAATTCATGTAAACGAAATTTGTCATATCAGGTTAGTAAATCAGGGTATGAAATTACAACTTATTTGATATGAATGAAGATAGCGACATGTGGGGATTTCTTTAAGAGTATGCTTGGTTGATAAAACCTTGTTGATTTCCCGGGGACAATCAATGACTTGGTTTCTGTTGTGGATACTGTTAAAATATTGTCATCAGCGGCTTTATAAACATATTGATTTGGTATTTTAAATGATCTGATATGTGCAATTAAATGAGAGAAAATTTTCAGTGATGGAAATTTTCCAAGATGTAAAAAGTGTGTCATTAGAAGGAAATACCTTTGTTATGTAGGTGAACAAGGATGGATGTTGATTTACATTGGGCATTGTTCTGTTTTTATAAAGATTTGTCAGAATAATAAAATTGTACTGTTGATATGTTTTGTTTCTTGAACCAAGGAAAGTACATACATTTATTGCTTATATTAACCCCATGTAGGTAACTGTGCCAAATCATTCATTTATTGTTGTTTTTGTGAATGAAATAATGGTACATAGCCAAAGCTTTTTAATCTGATTGCAGAAAACATAACTTTATTATTTGCCTGAACATGGAATAGAGTAATAAAACGAAAATATTTGTCTAGTTAGTTGACCTTAGAAGAGAGTGGTGCAAAGTGAGAAGTGTACAATGTATAGTTAGTTGTTCATATAAGAGAATGGTGAGAGTAAATTAAGTACAAGCGTACTATTGTAGTATTGATTAGAAGCAAGTGATAACTTCATGTCTTTCTAAAGTACACATACAAAATATAATAGGACCAAGTATCCTCATAGTTGACAATACACCTTATTGCTATTTGGAAATCTGTCCCGCTTGGACCTTTGATGCATACAAAACTCACTTTTCCATTGTGGTGTCAGATATTTCCTATTATGACGTCAAAATTTTATGGGAACTTTTGTGATGTCCAGTAATGGCGGACAAATAGCGATAAGGTGTATTAAAATTAATAACACTAGTTATGGATCTATCTTGGAAAAAGTTTCTTGGAGTTATACTTGGAAATACTTTATACTTGGAAATAATTTTGCTTGGAGTAATAGTCTCTAGAAAAAGTATTGTCATGGAAATAGTTGACATGTTGCAATGTACATTTAACATTATGTTACTTGATGTTCTTGCAATACACACAATACAGTGACTAAGCAATCATTATGAACTACTTTTCCTAGGATGGAAGTCATTGAATATGCTAATACATTCAATAATAAAGAATAGTCTATTTATATTAATAAGGAAAAGTTCTTCTATGTCTTAAAAGTGCGTACCATGGCGAGGTACAGAAAATCATATATATATATATATTTTTGCACCTTTTGTTTGCGGTATACCATCTTTTCCGCAAGTTTATTTTCTGTTTGGTATTAGATTATTAATTTTTAAAGATCCATTTTGTTACATCTTGTGATCCGTTTATTTGGCAATCGCCAATGGCAGTCAGAAGGGTTTAAGAACATCAGTTGTTCGACCTGTTAGTCAAATGCGTTTTGTTAAAATATACTTTTTAACTTTTTTGGTCTTTTGGAAAATGTTGTTTGTGCTGTATTTAGACCCCTCTACCAAGAAATTTGTTTTGCATGCACACGTATAAAAATTGCGGTTTATATATATATATATATATATACGGTGATTATCAACAAGGTTCAAATTTATTTTCTGAAGTATAGGAAGACAATGTGTACCCCATTGTTAAATTTACATTGCTTTTAAGATTAAAATAGATATCTTGATATTGACTGTATGTTACCATAGTTTACAAATGAAATTAATATAACATATCCATATAAAGTGTATTTTATAATAATGCCACAATATCTATTATCATCATCCATGCCAAAATATATGCTTGGTACCGGGGTATATCCAATATGTAACTCCACAGATACACACATATACTATGTGCAAGTTAATTATATTAAACAGTCATACAAATTGCTCATAAACATTAAAGTGCGCTGAGATTTAATACCAACATTCTTGTTGGCATACTTTACCATGAGCTGTGTTGCATATACATGGCATATAAACATGTGTTCACCTTATTTTTAAAGCTGTGGAATCCAAGGATAGCAGTTAAATACCATCATACATATATAAAATGATAGATAGACAAAGTCATCTGTGCACGATAAGTTCAACAGGATTATTCTACATAGTTCTATGGTACCAAATCAAAAGTTTATATAAAAGAAAGAAGTCAATGGTTTCCCATCATAGTTTAGTTACATACATTTTTAGCTCACCTGACCTGAAAGGTCAAGTGAGCTTTTCTCATCACTTTGCGTCCGTCGTCCTGCGTCCGTCTTCCGTAAACTTTTACAAAAATCTTCTCCTCTGAAACTACTGGGCCAAATGCACCCAAACTTAAACACAATCATCATTCAAGTATCTAGTTTAAAAAATGTGTCCGATGACCCCGCAAACCAACCAAGATGGCCGCCATGGCTAAAAAAAGAACATAGGGGTAAAATGTAGATTTTGGCTTATATCTCTGAAACCAAAGCATTTAGAGTAAATCTGACATAGGGTAAAACTGATTATCAGGTCAAGATCTATCTGCCCTGAAATTTTCAGACAAATCTGACAACCTGTTGTTCGGTTGCTGCCCCTGAATTGGTAATTTTAAGGAAATTTTGCAGTTTTTATACGACCGCAAAAAAATTTTTGTGGTCGTATATTGGTATGACGTTGGCGTCGTCGTCGTCGTCCGGCGTCGTCCGAAGACACATTGGTTTTCGCACTCTAACTTTAGTTTAAGTGAATGGATCTTTATGAAATTTTACCACAAGGTTCAATACCACAAAAGGAAGGTTGGGATTGATTTTGGGGGTTATGGTAATTACAGTAAAGGAATTAGGGGCCAAAAAGGGGCCAAAAATAAGCATTTTTGTAACTTCCAGACATAACTTGTGTGTTAGTGTATGGATCTCTCTGACATTGTACCACAAGGTTCCATATCACTAAAGGAATGCTGGGATTGATTTTGGTGGTAATTGCCTCCAAATTTTAGGAACTAGGGGGCAAAAAACAAGCATTTTTCTAGTTTCATGACAATAACTTGTGTGTAAGTGTATGGATCTTTCTGAAATTGTACTACATGGTTCCATATCACAAAGGGAAAGCTGGGTTTGAGTTTGGGGGTAATTGCCCTAAACGTTTAGGAATTTGGGGCCAAAAAACACATTTTTTTCTAGTTTCAAGACAATAACTTGTGTTCAAGTGTATGGATCTCTCTGAAATTGTACTGCAAGGTACCATACCACAAAGGGAAGGCTGGGATTGAGTTTGGGGGTGATGAATCATAATGGGGGTTCAAAAAATTTTGGGGGGGGATTTATTTTTTTTTCCTTTTTTTTCTTTTTTTCCTTTTTTTTCTTTTTTTCCTTTTTTGTTTCTTTTAAAATTTTCCATTTTAAGTTGGTTATTTCTGATTTATATTTAAAATCAAATAATAATGATATGGTAGGAGATACACACCAAACAGGATGTGTAAATTATTATATAATAAGTATTGTGCAATAGCAAGAAATTTTCAATTGCACAGTATTGCACAATAGCAAGAAATCTTCAATTGCACAGTATTGCGCAATAGCAAGAAATCTTCAATTGCAAAGTATTGCGCAATAGCAAGAAATATCCAATAGCACAATATTGCGCAATAGCAAGAAATTGTCAATTGTACAGTATTGCGCAATAGCAAGAAATATTTAATAGCACAGGATTGTGCAAAAGAAGATACTTCCTATAAATTACTTATTTCTTGACCAATTTCAATGGGGTTTTATTCTTGATTTCATTGGGTTCTTTAATATGCTGAATCTAACCGTGTATTTAGTTTTTGGATTTTGGGCCCCGTTTTTAAATTGGTCCACATTGAGGTCCAAAGGGTCCAAAATTAAACTTTGTTTGATTTCATCAAAAATTGAATTATTGGGGTTCTTTGATATGCCGAATCTAACTGTGTATTTAGATTCTTAAATTTTGGTTCCGTTTTCAAATTGGTCTACATTAAGGTCCAAAGGGTCCAAAATTAAACTTAGTTTGATTTTAACAAAAATTGAATTCTTAGGGTTCTTTGATATGCTGAATCTAAACATGTATTTAGATTTTTGATTATGGGCCCAGTTTTCAAGTTGGTCCAAATCGGGGTCCAAAATTAAACTTTGTTTGATTTCAACAAAAATTGAATATATGGGGTTCTTTGATATGCTGAATCTAACCATGTATTTAGATTTTTGATTTTTGGGCCCCGTTATCAACTTTGTCCACATTGAGGTCAAAAGGGTCCAAAATTAAACTTTGTTTGATTTCATCAAAAATTGAATTCTTGGGGTTCTTTGATATGCTGATTCTAACCATGTATTTAGATTTTGGATATTGGACCATAATAGGTGAATGTCCAATTTAAAATTTTTAAGTTCTTAGACCACATTCAATCTGTGTTAGAAACCTATGCTGTGTCAAATATTTAATCACAATCCAAATCCAAAGCTGTATCAAGCTTGAATGTTGTGTCCATACTTCCCCCAACTATTCAGGGTTCGACCTCTGCGGTCGTATCAAGCTGCGCCCTGCGGAGCATTTTATTGGTTATTATCTTGAATATTATTATAGATAGAGATAAACTGTCAACAGCAATAATGTTCAGCAAAGTAAGATCTACAAATAAGTTGTCACGACCAAAATTGTCAGTCAACCGCTTTAGGAGTTATTGCCCTTGATAGTCAATTTTTAACAATTTTTTGTAAATTTTTGTTATCTTTTACAAAAATCTTCTTCTCTGAAACTACTGAGACAAATTTAACCATACTTGGCCATTATCATTATTAGGGTATCTAGTTTAAAAAATTTGTCCGATGACCCCGCCTTCCAACCATCATGGCCGACTTGGTTAAAGATAGAACATAGGGGTAAAATGCAGTTTTTGGTTTATATCTCTGAAACTAAAGCATTTAGAGCAAATCTGACAGGTGGCAAAAATGTTCATCAGATTTAGATTTATCTGAAATTTTCAGACGAAACCGACAACCTGTTGTTGGGTTGCTGCCCCTGAGTTATTAATTTTACAAAAATTTTGCAGTTTTTATACGACCGCAAAAAAATTTTTGTGGTCGTATATTGGTATGACGTTGGCGTCGTCGTCGTCGTCGTCGTCGTCCGAATACACATTGGTTTTCGCACTCTAACTTTAGTTTAAGTGAATGGATCTTTTTGAAATTTTACCATAAGGTTAAATACCACAAAAGGAAGGTTGGGATTGATTTTGGGGGTTATGGTACCAACAGTTAAGGAATTAGGGGCCAAAAAGGGGCCAAAAATAAGCATTTTCTATTTTCCAGACAATAACTGTGGAACAGTGTATGGATCTCTCTGAAATTATACTACAAGTTTCCATACCACAAAGGGATGGTTAGGATTTGCTTTGGGGGGTTATGGCTCAAACCGTTTAGGAATTAGGGGCAAAAAAGGGGGAAAAACAAGGTTGTCCTGGTTAATGGACAAATACTTTAGTACAAAACATAATTTTAAGCAGTGTAAGGGAGATAAATCAAATACATCATTGAAATTATCTCCCTTACACTGCTTTTAAATTATGTATAAAGTAATGGTTAATGAACAATAAAGATAATTTAAAACAGTGTAAGGGAGGTAATCTAAATACAACGTTTTGGTTACTTCCCTTACACTGCTTTTAAATTATGTTTAAAGAAATGCATATTTATAAAGGAAGACCAGTAAAAATATCTGCAAATGTTGCATAATTTTATTTTACAAAAAAATCTATATGAAAGATTTGACACTATATTTTTAATTCTTTTATAAAATAGATTAAGTTAGCACTATGGTAAAATTAAATGGGTAATTATGGTTGCCAACTCCATTGGAAATTTGAATTGAGATTATGACCATATCTTGAGGGAAAGAATTTTTTGGGGGAAAAAGGGGGGGGGGATAAAAAGAAATTGTGGGGGGTCAATTTTTTCTCATTTCAGAAATTAAAAAGAATTATTCTTCAAATATTATTTTTTTTTCAAATTTAAATATTGAAAAATTTCAAGAAGTAATCTTTAATTGCACAGTATGGCACATTAGATTTGTAAAATCTTTGATCACATTTATTTATTTGTTATGCCGAATTTAACAGTGTATTTAGATTTTTAATTTTGGGTCCAGTTTTCAAAATAGTCTACATTAAGGTCCAAAGGGTCCAAAATTAAACTTTGTTTGATTTTAGCAAAAATTGAATATATGAGGTTCTTTGATATGCTGAATCTAAACATGTATTAAGATTTTTGATTTTTGGCCCAGTTTTCAAGTTGGTCCAAATTGGGGTCCAAAATTAAACTTTGTTTGATTTCAACAAAAATTGAATATATGGGGTTCTTTGATATGCTGAATCTAACCATGTATTTAGATTTTTTATTTGTGGACCCCGGTATCAAATTGGTTCATATTGAGGTCAAAAGGGTCCAAAATTAAACTTTGTTTGATTTCATCTAAAATTGAATTATTGGGGCTCTTTGATATTCCAAATCTAACCGTGTATTTAGATTTTTAATTTTGGGTCCTGTTTTTTAAATTGGTCTACATTAAGGTCCAAAGGGTCCAAAATTAAACTTAGTTTGATTTTAACAAAAATTGAATTCTTGGGGTTCTTTGATATGCTGAATCTAAACATGTGTTTAGATTTTTGATTATGGGCCCAGTTTTCAAGTTGGTCCAAGATAGGGTCCAGTATTTAAACTTTGTTTGATTTCAACAAAAATTGAATATATGGGGTTCTTTGATATGCTGAATCTAAACATGTATTTAGATTTTTGATTATGGGCCCAGTTTTCAAGTTGGTCCAAATTGGGGTCCAAAATTAAACTTTGTTTGATTTCAACAAAAATTGAATATATGAGGTTCTTTGATATGCTGAATCTAACCATGTATTTAGATTTTTTATTTGTAGGCCCCACTATCAGATTGGTTCATATTGAGGTCAAAAGGGTCCAAAATTAAACTTTGTTTGATTTCATCAAAAATTGAATTATTGGGGTTCTTTGATATGCCAAATCTAACCGTGTTATTAGATGTTTAATTTGGGTCCCGTTTTTTAAATTGGTCTTCATTGAGGTCCAAAGGGTCCAAAATTAAACTTAGTTTGATTTTAACAAAAATTGAATTCTTGGGGTTCTTTGATATGCTGAATCTAAACATGTGTTTAGATTTTTGATTATGGGCCCAGTTTTCAAGTTGGTCCAAGTTGGGGTCCAAAATTAAACTTTTTTTGATTTCAACAAAAATTGAATATATGGGGTTCTTTGATATGCTGAATCTAACCATGAATTTTGATTTTTTATTTGTGGGCCCCGCTATCAAATTGGTTCATATTGAGGTCAAAAGGGTCCAAAATTAAACTTTGTTTGATTTCATCAAAAATTGAATTATTGGGGTTCTTTGATATTCCAAATCTAACCGTGTATTTAGATTTTTAATTTTAAGTCCTGTTTTTTAAATTGGTCTACATTTAGGTCCAAAGGGTCCAAAATTAAACTTAGTTTGATTTTAGCAAAAATTGATTTCTTGGGGTTCTTTGATATGCTGAATCTAAACATATGTTTAGATTTTTGATTATGGGCCCAGTTTTCAAGTTTGTCCAAGTTGGGGTCCAAAATTAAACTTTGTTTGATTTTAACAAAAATTGAATATATGGGGTTCTTTGATATGCTGAATCTAACCATGTATTTTGATTTTGGACATTGGACCATAATAGGTAAATTAAAAAAATTCAAGTTCTTAGACCACATTCTTTCTGTGTCAGAAACCTATGCTGTGTCAAATATTTAATAACAATCGAAATTCAGAGCTGTATCAAGCTTGAATGTTGTGTCCATACTTGCCCCAACTGATCAGGGTTCGACCTCTGCGGTCGTATCAAGCGAAGCATTTTATTTGTTATTATCTTAGATATCATTATAATATCTAATATCTAATACTATTAATTATGATTTTAACCTTATTTTACATGATTTCCAAAGCATCAGTAAATACAGGTGAGCGACACAGGCTCTTGAGAGCCTCTAGTTTTTATACGACCGCAAAAAAATTTTTGTGGTCGTATATTGGTATGACGTTGGCGTCGTCGTCGTCGTCGTCATCGTCGTCCGGCGTCGTCGTCCGAATACACATTAGTTTTCGCACTCTAACTTTAGTTTAAGTGAATGGATCTCAATGAAATTTTACCATAAGGTTCAATACCACAAAAGGAAGGTGGGGATTGATTTTGGGGGTTATGGTACTAACAGTTAAGGAATTAGGGGCCAAAAGGGGCCAAAAATAAGCATTTTTGTAACTTCCAGACATAACTTGTGTGTAAGTGTATGGATCTCTCTGACATTGTACCACAAGGTTCCATATCACAAAGGGAATGCTGGGATTGATTTTGGGGGTAATTGCCTCCAAATTTTAGGAATTGGGGGCCAAAAAGGGGCAAAAAACAAGCATTTTTCTAGTTTCATGACAATATCTTGTTTGTAAGTGTATGGATCTTTATGAAATTGTACTACAAGGTTCCATATCACAAAGGGAATACTGGGATTGATTTTTGGGGTAATTTCCTCCAAATTTTAGGAATTAGGGGCCAAAAAGGGGCAAAAAACAAGCATTTTTCTAGTTTCATGACAATAACTTGTTTGTAAGTGTATGGATCTTTATGAAATTGTACTACAAGGTTCCATATCACAAAGGGAAGGCTGGGATTGATTTTGGGGGTTTTCCCTCAAAATTTTAGTAATTAGGGGCCATAAAAGGGCAAAAAAAACATGCATTTTTCTAGTTTCAGGACAATAACTTGTGTGTAAGTGTATGGATCTTTATGAAATTGTACTGCAAGGTTCCATATCACAAAGGGAAAGCTGGAATTGAGTTTGGGGGTAATTGCCCTAAACGTTTAGGAATTTGGGGCCAAAAAGGGGCCAAAAAACAAGCATTTTTCTAGTTTCCAGACAATAACTTGTGTTCAAGTGTATGAATCTCTCTGAAATTGTACTGCAAGGTACCATACCACAAAGGGAAAGCTGGGATTGAGTTTGGGGGTGATGAATCATAAGGGGGTTCAAAAAATTGGGGGGGGGGGATTTTTTTTTCCTTTTTTTTCTTTAACATTTTCCATTTTAAATTGGTTATTTCTGATTTATATATAAAAGCAAATAATAATGATATGGTTTGAATAGGCATACATGTGAACCTCCCGACGGGAGTACAATAATCCCGTTTTCAGGGGTCTCCTCCCGACCTCCCGTTGAAGAGGAAAAAATCCCGTGTATGAAATTTTTCATGAATGAAAAATTTCTGCCCAACATATCATCTCAGGCATCTGGTGTAACTGACATTACCTGAAGTTATATTTTACCTGTAAATCAATTAACATGCATAATTATATGGCTTCACTTGTCAGCTTGGGTGTCAAACATACAGGTAATCAACGATTTTTACCTCAGGCTAACTGCCGTTGTGTAACAAAAACTGTGTATTTATTGGGTTACTTCCCTTGATTTATCCTGTTTTAAGTTACTTTCCTTTTAATAATGAAAATTTTTAAAAGAATATAAATAAAATATAAATTGAACAAATAATCATAAAAGGATGGTTATTAAATGATTTTAAATGTCTTAGGACAAATAAAAAAATAATAATTTGAAAATTATTTGAGGATTCTAGACTTCCTTTCAAGGCTTAAATTGAAATTTATATAATAACTATGACCCTTGTTTTACAGATAAAATGATTTTCTGAGTTTGCAAATAAAAACTATTTGCAAGAGAAAAAAAAAAAATAAAAACTATTTGCAGATAGCTAAACAAATGCTCTGGTTGCAATGATTGTTTTATAGAATATGAAGTAAAAAATTTAAAGAACATACTGGAAAAATACAATGTGAGATTGAACATGTAGAATATAAAGATGGAGAAACTTTATAAGTACAAGGGTACTATAAACATAATAAATTGGATGGAAAGTTGAAGAAAACACACTTTAAAAGACCATTTTTACAGCACACGGTTACATTTACAACAAAATTAATGTCGATTAAAAACCTCCTGATCTGAGTCCTAATCTCCTGACCAAAATTTCCCAATCTCCTGATCTGAGTTTCACAGTCCATCACATGTATGAATAGGTAAATTGAAAATTTTTAAGTTCTTAGACCACTTTCATTCTGTGTCAGAAACCTATGCTGTGTCAAATATTTAATTACAATCCAAATTCAGTGCTGTATCAAGCTTGAATGTTGTGTCCATACTTGCCCCAACTGTTCAGGGTTCGACCTCTGCGGTCGTATCAAGCTGCGCCCCAGCGGAGCATTTTATTTGTACCTGAGGTCGTTGAATTTAGATCATTATATAGATAAGGAGATGTGGTATGATTGCCAATGAAACAACTATCATCCATACTTACTAGTAACAAACCACATTTGCAAAGTTGAATAAAATACAGTTGATAACTGGTATTTATTACTAAAAGAAAATGTCCAACTATATTAAACAGTATTTGACAATAAACATAGATAAACAAGGTACAAACTGGACATAATGCACTAGTTCATAAACAAGTGAGAACAATCACCTTCATATAATGCTCAGACATTGCTTCATAAAACTTGTTCAATATCATTAGAGAACTTTAAATCTTAAATACTGAAAGCCAAGATAATGATATAACTGGACTAAAAATACACAGAACCTGTAATTAACTGCCTTTACAGCGCTTTCGCGCTTTGATTATAAGAGAATGGTGATTCAGTGGTTCAAAATTATAAGTGTATTGTTAGTTGTTCTAATAAGATAATGATGATTCAGTGGTGTAAAGTGAGAAGTGTATAGTTAAATGATGTCATAAGAGAATGGTGATTCAGTGGTGCAAATTGAGAAGTGTATAGTTATTTATTCTTATAAGAGAATGGTGATTTTACTCCATATTAACATAACACACATTGTCGGAAAATATAAAATTTATTTGTATGAGCTTTAGAAACAGGACGAAAAGCGAGGCTTGCCGAGCTTTTCTCCTGTTTCGCAGCGAGTACAAATAGATTTTATATTTTCCGACAATGTACATATATTGTTTTTATCCTGAAATTTACACCCAACACTTGAAACTTTAGTTGTTAAAATCTAAATCATTGTCTCTAATTTTTCAAAGAAATCGTCATAGTTTAAAAGCAGACCGCGAAGAGGACCCCAAAATCAACTGGTACGCAAAAAGAAATATCCAAATCACCGCTTACTCAACATGGAAGAGGGGTAACAGGAGACTCTCAAGTACAAATAAAGCAAACATTTATTTGTGTACCTTTTATTTGTACAATAGTTGGCGGATTGCAGGATAAAATTTTGTATTTGTATAACAGTTCATCATGTTTGTCTGTAATTAGAATATAATTCAAATTCTTTTCTCATTGCAGGTCACTTCCCAGCCATTAGTGATGATCTGGTGAATTCTTACCATTTGTTGCTGTGTTGTATAGACTGGGTGTATGCCAACAGTATACTTGGTGGAAGGAAAGATCTTTTAAACTCAGATTTTCAAGGTTATTACAACACATTCATTTTTTTCTGCTTTTCTCTGGATTTATGGAAATTTGTGGTCTTACAACATAACTTGCTCCTTTGTATGAATTGAATTAGTACTGCCTGTTTAAGCACACCGAGAAAAAAATCATATTCTGAAATCTTTAAATCATTATTAAACAATGTATTCTTACAAAAGCCAACCCAACTAATTCTTCCAAATAATACGTAAGATAAGAGGTCCACGGGTTGTAGCTTAAGACCTCTTTCCCCCTAGGTTGCTATCCAAATTTTTTTGAATCCAATCCATATTAAAAATTTAATAAGTGATCCAAATTGAGTTATTATAGAAAAAAATATAGCTTTATATATATATATATAAGAGATACGTCACTCTTTGGGATGAAGAACAGCAATAGAATGGCTATTTCTGTTGCTTTGGCTTTTGTGCGTGTAAGGACTTTGTGGTATGAATGAACACACCTTTCTTTTCTGATAACTATCAACATTGTTGAAAGCCTGAACTTAAACTTTGCTTTATAAGTTAGTCCTAGATTTTTAAAAATGAGCAGCAGTGACAAATCAACTGTTTCATAATTTTTTAATTTTTTATGGATTATTACTTAAAAATTTCTTGTTATTGCAAATTATACATATTATATATTTCAGCATTGCCAGAAGATTATGAATCCAAAGACTGGAAACCTCCTGTAGACCCCCCTTGTATTATAAAACTTCTTTGTGAAAAACATGAAGGTTTGGAAATAGAAGCAAAAGTTATAAAAGAGCATTGGTGGAAACCACACATAAGAAAACTTTTTGAGAAGAAGGTTGGTGTTTATTGTGGGTTATTTCCCTTTAATTTGTTATTAAATGTGTTTTTATTGATACCAGGGAAATGAATTCATTATTTCCTTTGCCATCTTGAAAAAAAAGTAAAGTAATTAAAAAATGTTTTCAGTTTTTATACGACCGCAAAATAATTTTTGGGATCGTATAATGGTATGATGTCGTCATCGTCTGCGTCATCGTCCGAAGACACATTTGTTTCCGGACAATAACTTTTTCAATTGCTCTGAAATTGTACCACAATGTTTAATACCACAAGTAGAAAGTTGGGATTTATTTTAAGGGTTATGGGGCAAACAGTTTAGGAATTAAGGGCCAAAAAGGGGCCAAAAAGAAGCATTTTTCTAGTTTCAGGACAATAACTTGTGTGTAAGTGTATGGATCTCTCAGACATTGTACCACAAGGTTCCATATAACAAAGGGAAGGCTGGGATTGAGTTTGGGGTTAATTGCCCCAAACATGTAGGAATTAGGGGCCAAAAAGAAGCATTTTTCTAGTTTCAGGACAATAACTTGTGTGTAAGTGTATGGATCTCTCAGACATTGTACCACAAGGTTCCATATAACAAAGGGAAGGCTGGGATTGAGTTTGGGGTTAATTGCCCCAAACATGTAGGAATTAGGGGCCAAAAAGAAGCATTTTTCTAGTTTCGAGACAATAACTTGTGTTTAAGTGTATGGACCTCTCTGAAATTATACTACAAGATTCCATACTACAAAGGGAAGGCTTGGTTTGAGTTTGGGGTTAATTGCCCCAAACATGTAGGAATTAGGGGCCAAAAAAGGGGTTATTGCTGCAAGGGTGGTTTCAATAAGTTGGAGGGGGGATTTTTTGTTTACAATTTTTTTAAAGGATTCATATTTTTTTTCAAAATTTTTCAATTTCGAATTTTTGAAAAGTTTCAAGAAGAAATCTTCAATTGCACAGTATTGCACAATAGATTTGTAAGATCTTTGACCACATTTATTTTGTGTCAGAAACCTATATTATGTCAAAAATTTGAACACAATCCAAATTCAGACAGTACCAAGCTTGAATATTGTGTCCAAATTTGCCCTAACTGTTCAGGGTTCAACCTCTGCGATCGTATTAGGATGCGCTCAGTAAAGCATTTTATTCATTCTAAAAGAAACTTCAGATAATCTGGTAATTTATAGGAAATTGTGATTTTAGAAAAGACCTCAAAACTTGACTTAATGATTTGAATGTTTGTAGGTTTTGAAAGGAAAAACAGACACCTTGTCTGCAGTATTAGAAATTGGTAATTTCGAATTTAATAGGTAAGTTCAAATATATACTTATTGAGATACTCATTTATGTAGTGTGGAGTTTTTTCTTGTAGTCTTTTTCAGTAAATGTAGTAATTTATTTGTAGTTCAGAGAATGCATTTCATGTGTCAAAATTTATTTAAAAGAACTCCACAAATTACTAAAATTATTTCAGATCAGTCCTTATCCAATACTAATTGATAAGAAATTTAATTTGACTGTTTTTGATTGCTGGGATGTGGTTTGTGATTGCTTTGTTTTAGATTTCTTAATATATAATACTAACACATCAGGTCTCTCTTAATTAGTGGAAAATATACATCACAACCTACAATGCCATTATTGTTTTTTCTGTATTTGGATTTTTTTTTTTTTTTTTTTTTTTTTTTTTTTTTTTGGTGTATTGGAGAAATTCATGAGAATTTTGATCACTTGATGAGGGGTTGTAAGGAGTTTACCTCTACCAACACACATCCCTTCTCTGAACCAAGGCTTCCAAAACGGTCATATATTCCGGACATTTGTATAATGTCCGGTAAAAGTTCGGCTGGGCAAAGCATGAAACAGTCATCTACTTTTTAGTTTTCAAGGCTTTCTTAAGAGACGGTCGTTTTAACATAATTCGCGATCTTTTTGAGTATGACCCAACCTTTTGCCTTTAACAGCCACACATTTCCGGTCATAAAAGTGACATGATCATTAAGTACTATCAAAACAACCCCTACTTTAATACCTTCTCATTTTAATCAAGGCTAATTAGTTGTCGAACAGCTGAAATTTACCTGTTCAGGTGACAGGTAAACTATTTTGAACCGGACATTGATCGGTCTATTCAAAGTTATTTTCTTACATTTCAGCGGTTTGCATCTAATTAATTTAGCCAAAAAGATTTAAATTATCAGAAATACGTTTACAAATATGATTTGATGAAAAAATTAAAAAGTTGAAAATGAAAAATCGTCATAACCACGTTGTTTGAACCAGAGACATGTCTCTGTTTGAAGTAGTACACGTGTGCGCATGTGCACAGGTGTGAAATTTAATTATGCATCCTAATTTCTTCAAAAAATGCTTAAATTTTCATTGATACCTTTATCTCACATTTATTTCAAATATTTTCTTGAAGAAATAACGTAGAAAGAGCTACGTACACTCATTCATGCTTTGCAAACGTACACGGAATTTACGTATCCGTCTCTGGTCCATGTTTTACCATTGTCAAGATAACATCCGGTATAAGATTTTAACGAATGTAAAGTTTTTGACAACGTTATTTTGCACAAATAAAGAGTATAAGGCAGATATAAGTACGCTGATGTTGCACACTTCGAATGATGCACTGCCAATTTAACAGTTTACGTCAGAACTTCGAATTTGAATCAAAGAAAGTTTGATATCGTTTTTTTTTAATGTCAATCATTGACATTGGGATGGCCAACTCAGCAACTGAATACCATAATTGCCTTTTGTTTATTTAGTCTTAAGGGATTAAAATTGGAATAATATATAAAATGTCCGGCTGGCTAAAAATAATTTTGGAAGCCCTGCTCTGAACTTCCAACTAGGAACAATTTTCTCCAAAAACACATTCATTTATTTATTTATTGTATATTTTTGTTATGTAGTTAGGTCTAAAAGCCCTGTCACACCTAGAATGCACTTGTCAAATGATTCATCATGTGTACTGACCAAGATCAACAAGTAATCAATGTTACATTGGAATCAGATATTATAACCCAACTTTCTTATCTTTTGGACAACATGAACTTTGCCATACCTGCACACTAAAGTACACATTTGCATTCTCTTCCCTTCCCAAACCAATGAAATTTTCTGAGAATATTTACCATAATGTATAAAAGGTGGAAAGCCTGATAATTTTCTTTTTAATTTTATCACTGACCCCCTTGGCTGCCAACTAAAAAAAATTGCTATTTCATAATCAAATGCCTTCTGGGTAATATTTCCAAAGGGTACACCAAAACTTGATTGGTGAAAAAGTCCTACATTTGTAAACAATGGAAATACAACCAATGAGGCAACATTACTTTCAAAACAATGAAATAACCCATATTCCTTTAGATTCTATAATTGCCAATTAAGCCATTACTGACTTACAGGCATTGCAGACATTTAGCATATTAACAACTCAGCTTGCATGTTCATGATGCTCTATTTTAAGCTCACCTAGCCTGATCTTGTTCTGTCGCTCTGTCATTGTAAACTTTGAAAAATTTCTTCTCCTAAAACTACTTGTCCAAATGTTACCAAAGTTAACCCTAATGTTTCAAGCAAGTTAATATGGCCAAATTGTCACACGGTGAGAGGATTTATTGCCATTAAATGACATCTTTATGTCCCGTTGCAGCAGAGGGGGGCATTAAGTGTTACCTACGTCTGTCCGTATGAATGTATGTCCCAAAATTAGTTTCTGTTCTCTAATCTTAGTTTGCCTCAACCAATTTTTATGAAATTTATACACAATGCTTATTACCACGAAACACAGATCAAGTTCAAATTTGGGTGGTATCACTTTTACCGTTCTAGAGTTATGGCCCTTTATAAATGGATAAATTGCTGAAGTTTTCATTTCCGTTCTCTAGTTATGTCCTTTTATAATGTTATATGCAAGTGGGGGCATCATCTGTGTCCCATGGGCACCTTCTCCATTTATTTTTTATTTCAAATACTTTAATGGATCGGTATAAACTGTAAACAGATAAAAATAATATTAAATTCCAGACTTTCAAATATGCTACTAAATAGGATCTACAAATAATCCAACATAACTGGTGATTGCAATGAAGGAAAAAAACAAACATCAAAATGTAATGTTTTTTACCAGGTCAGAAATTCTGGGTCTTGGAAGCCTCTTGTTTAATTTTAGAAATAGAGTGACAAGTCAAATCTGAAGTAAAATGTAAAAAGCAGAAGCATTGAAGTTTTTAATGAGTATAAAAAGTCAATGAGAGAGGGATAAATTATAACAAACAATATTTATATGTAATGATGGCTTCCTCCTTTGTGATCAATGTCGTTTGTATTAAACAGACACTGACCGGTGAAAAATTCAATTATATGCCCCACATCCCTTTTAGAATTAGGTTTTAAAAACTTTTTGTATATGACAGGAAATTAATTGTCGACAATGCTTTTTAACTAATACAATTACAAAGTAAAGTTATTTGATGTTGGAGGAAGAAAAAAAAAACTTTGATCTGTAGACTGCATTAACAACATTAAATGGAGCAATGAAAATCATTTCTTCATCAGGTTGATGTAAAAGTTTTTTATTTGTTTATTTTTTTTTTATTGTTATATAGATTAGAAACTATCCATTTTAATGGGCTAAAGATTGCTGAAGCAATTAGGGCATAAGTTCAATATGTAGATTTTATTGGGTTGGATAATTGTTTTCAAGGTTAGGGAAATAAATATTGGTAGAAATCAATAGATTTTTGTTTGAATTGTCTTCAGTAATATTACACAAGAGCTGCTTGAATTAGTCCTAGATGACATATTATGTTGCTGAGGAAAATATTTGGTTTCTGATAATGAAGTATTCTTCCAATTCCAGTGCTTTGTTAAGATAAAAAAGTTATCTTTTGTGTGCTTACATAATTTGATTGTGAAAATACAATTTTATGACATGATGCGATAAGGGTGATATTTAGCGTAATTTTTACTGAAATTTGAACTTTTATTGACAATTTATATTTGTGTTCATTTTAATACTTATAAAAAGTTAGTGGTCCATCACATTACAATAAAATTAGTATAGCAGAAAAAGTCTCGCGCAAGTCCAACCCCTCAACAATTAGAGGGATGTTGATGAAACTTTACACAGTAGTAGAACACGACTAGAATTTGATGAAAATGGCAGATCTCTGATGTTACTGTTAAATTTATTCAAAATTTATATAAAGTGAGCAGAGTTCGCGACAATAGTCAGTCTGGTTGGTCCTGACCGGAAAAATGAGGCTCGGACCGGTATTTTGATCGCTAGCGGCAGTCTCGATAACCGATGCAAAAATGGCCGTTGCAGGGCCTATGTCAGCATGTCTTTTACATCGGTCATCAGATGTACATGCGGATAATTTCCAGTACGTTTTTAACATCGGTCATCAGATGTACCCATGGCTAATTTCCGGTACTGGTTCCTGAATTTTATTATGAACAAACCAAAGCAACGAGCTACATGTGGCCTATTAAATTTGTTCACGGAGCCGTCCCTGGCAAACGATCGGTGGTGGAACCTTCCGATGAAGCCAAACATATATGTTATTAATTTTATTTCAGAATAAAATTGACAGATTTTGTAGGACCGGCAAAAATTTTGTAGGACTAACATATAATCTTGCCTTGTCAGTACCACAACTGAATTGCACGCTAGTTAAAGTCATAATTTTTATAGGAATGAATAAGTGCAGTGTTCTTTGAAATAAGGAGATACTTGACACTGAGGACTTAGGTTCATGTGAGCCTTTATTGGTTCTTCAATTTCCTAGTTAAAATTTCTAACTGAGGAAAATTGTTTTGTTTAATAGTTTTTTTTATCTTATACAAAGTAGTTCTTGTTCAAGATATTTATGATATCCAACAAATGCCTATCTAAGAATTAAGCATCTTGTAACAATGTACTAAATAAGTTTACATAAGTACATCCACTTATGAAGGGAACTTGACATAGAGATAAAAATTGCTGACTATCTGAGATTGTATGATCCAAATATTTCTTATCCTGGATATCATTATGAATTAGATTTCATGCAAGCACAAATTTGACTTCAAAAATATATTTTTTAGGACTGTAGATTTTTTAATTTAATTAGTTTTTTGTAAAGTTCTTGCAGTATTGCCATGAATGCCATGAGACCCTATATATATATAATTATGGGCATTAAAATCCAAACTAGATATCATGCTCCTAATTATCAATAGTTTGTCCAGTAATAATTCATTTACAGCACCTTTTAGAAAATGTTTCAATAGCATAGTTGACAAAGGAGTC